GCGAGCCCGGCCCTCCGCAGCTGCCGCCGCGCCCGCACTCCTCCCCCGGGCCAACCGGGCGCGACGGCCCGACTAACTGGTCGCTGTCACGGATTTGCCGAGGTCGATTGCGCCGCGGCTCGGCCATCCTGCCAGGCTCGTCAGATCTCGGTCCGCACGCGCAGCTGGGTCATCCAGCGCGGTCGGGTCCAGTCTGGTCTGGTCTGGTACGGCCCGGTCTGGTCTGCTCCAGGCAGGTCCGGTCCGGTCCGGTCCGGGTCGGGTCCGGTCTGCTCCGGTTCGGTCCGGTCCTGTCTGGTCTGCTCCGGTCCGGTCCGGTCCGGTCCGGTCCAGGTCCGGTCTTCTACGCACCAGTTCAGCGCAGAGCGGTTTCCAGTCCGCCCCCGGCCGGCCTAGCCGGCGCTCAATCCGATCTAATCTTATCCAGTCTGGCTCAGGATGACTCAGCCCCCGACTCCCCGATATAACATGACAACCACGCGTCCCCGATGACTCAGTCCCCGGCTCCACGATATAACATGACGACCACGCGTCCCTGATGACTCAGTCCCCGACTCCACGATATAACATGACGGCCACGCGTCCCCGACTCCACGAAATAACATGACGACCACGCGTCCCTGATGACTCAGTCCCAAAGCAAAAACACCACAGGGAATATGACCGGACGGTGCACTGAACGTGAATATGCCGCTCCAGCCCAAGTGGCTCGCGCTGCTCAGTTCAAACTTCTGTAAGGTCAATCGTTACGGCCGAGGGGCTGCATTATGAATGGTCGAGGCTACCGCACGCGGCGAATCGGTCAGCGATGGAAATCGATGGCGGTCAGATTGCGGGTCCAGTAGCTCACCGCTCACGGTTCCCACACCGGTTCCCTCATGGATCCCTGGTGGCGGGCGCCGTACGTCCCGAACACGGCATGCTCTCGTGATGTCCTGGGGTGGAATGGTCACTGGTCACCGCCTTCTGGCCACCGGTGCACTCTCTCGATGTCCTCGGGCGGAAAAGTCAGCACCTTCTAGTCACCATTGTCTGGCCATTGGCCTGCGCCATGGACGTGGCGTGCTCTTCGGATGTCCTGGGGCGTACCACCCTCTGTACGTGAGCCACGCGCGTGGCGCGCTATTCGGACGTCCTAATGGAAAGATCACTAGTCACCACCCTTAAGACTCCGGTGTGCCCGCCGCAGGCCACTAGTCACCACCCTCTTGACTCCTCCGGTGTGCCTGCCGTAGGCCACTAGTCACCCCCCTTTGGACTCTGGTGTGCCTGCCGTAGGCCACTAGTTACCACCCGCTGGACTCCTCCGGCGTGCCTGCCGTAGGCCACTAATCACCACCCTTTGGACTCCTCCGGTGTGTCTGCTGTAGGTCACCATTCACCCCTCTCTGGACTTTGGGGTGCCTACCGCTCAGCCATCCACCCGGTGGATCTCGCACTCCGAATTGTTCGGAGTTCCCCACGGGGCTGATGCAGCGCAGAACAATGTGTTTGCCTTCCCTTTTCGTCTGCGGAAGGGTCGCAAACACGCACTGATATTTCTACAAGGACATCGACTCAATGACAAAGTGTTGAGCCCAGGCGCTTGTCATGCAATTTTCATCCGTAATAAAAGTACACAAATCGGATCTGAAGTAAAATGATAAAAAATCGGGCCTCATGCAACATGATAAAGAAATCAGACCTCATGCAAAATAGTTGTGTCGTGAGTCGAACAAAACCAGACATTTCATTATTCATGTCCGGACTGGCTGGCACCCTTTGCTTTATTCTTATTCTCTTTTCTATGCCTGCCTGCCTGCCTCTTTTATTTTCTATTTTCTATCACATGCTTCTTTATTTTTTACCTCAGAGGCCATTCACCTGAGATCTCAGGTGAGGCGAGCTAGAGCAACGAGAAACGGCGCAGGATATCTTTCGTCAGCCTGTATCAGACATGTGAAATAGAGCAGTGATGAATCCGATCTTTAACATATCGAATAAAATTGTGTCACAACGGCCAGCTAAACTTTTTTAGATGCTTCCCGTTTTCCCAAGAACTTAGCAGGATATGACAATGCAACAACAGAGTGGAATGACTTTTGGAAAAAGTTATCAGATTCGTATTAATGGACAACGAGGGTGTACTTCACTGCACTGTATTTCATACCGGCACATCTGCCCACACTGGTGGCTGTAAACGCACCACCGCCTTGATCAAAATGAGACGATGATTTAGAAGGGCGGGGGAAGGTATTTGTAGGATGCAAGAGTGAACAGGCCAGGCACTTGGGAAGAAATTGGTATGGGAGAGAATGGATCTAGGGCTCGTCAATCATAAAAGGCGTCAGCACCACAGGCCGCAATATAGTGAGGGTCTAAATGAGTGAAAACAAATGAAGCATGACCATTGATAAATGACGGCGAATCGATCCTCGTTTCTAACTTTCGCTCTCGAATTTGCTCTAAAGGTTTCTTCACGCATTTAAACGGCATATAACGTAAGCTCGCTTCAACACCCACAGACCGTTATTCGGAGTCTGTTGGTTTTGTGTGGTAGAGAATTACGCTTCACCACGTTCACACTTAATTCTTTTTCAGGGATATTTACAACAAACAGTTTATAGTTCTGACGCACACAGTTCAAGACACCATTTTTATCACGTATCAACGTTCTGATGAGATGTTCAGCGGAATGGTGCAATTGGAAAACGTGCAATGGTGCAATTGGTCACGTATTTAGATCCAAACTTTGTGATGAATTTCTTTAATCTCTTCTTCCGACATGTTCACTGAATATCAGAATCGCCGCTTAAAAAATACTCCGAGCTGTCTTATTTCTCGAAATCACCTTGTGACGACGCAATCATTAAAGCAAAGACACTTCGCCACTCTCACTGTGTATTAGTCGAAATGCAGTGTTCTGAAAAACTTCACGCCAACGGCACAAAAGCCGCGCCGTCGGGCCAGCTCCAGCCGGCCGAGCTGTCGCCAACGACTGCACGGACGGAGTAGATGTGACGCTTCATGTGAAGCCGGACAAGTCAGGGATCATAACGCAAAGGCCAGTCCGTTTATATTAAGAACTAAGCAAGCCAGGCAATGGGGAAAGCAACGTCAGAAGGGCCTTTCAAAGCTGCAAGGTACATGTCACTAAGTCCTAAATCCCATCACCTTCGAAGGTCAACTCTGGTCACGAAGGCGAAGTTGGACCACGGTTTATCTGGGATGATCTGGTCTTGATAAGCTACCAAATCTCTCGTAATGCACTTTAGAGCAGTTTAGCTGAGACAAAATAATATAAGAAGCTTCTATATAGTGTTTTTCTTGTGAGAAATAAAAACTTGAAAATATCCCTCTGAGCAAATTGGCATCGAAATGACCTAAAAAGGTGATAAGTAATGGACTGTGCGGGGCAGAAACCTACAATTTGTGTGCAAAACGATGAAAATTAGGCAAATTTCAGCACCATGTTGCAAGCTTTCAGAAGCTGTCCCGGACCATCTGGTGCTTCTTTAGCACCGCACTCGTAGGACGAGGGTTGAGGGCAAGGAAGAGAGATCTGATGCGCCCATGGCCGTTCCAGGCCACAAATTGCATGCTGTAGCGAAAACCCTATGCAGTGTCGCAGTTTTTCATTGTTAAGCTGACCCGACACTGTTGTTGGGTCGGACGGGGATCACGGTCTTGAGCACGCTGTACAGCTGCACAGTCGCGACTTCTGTGAGAGTAATTAAACTGGTTAGACAGGTATAATGTTAAAAGGGATGCTTTACATTTAAAGATATTGAAGCAAGCATCAGATATGATGGGACAGGCTCACTTATAACCATGAGTGTACTTTTTAAGTGGAAAAACTGTTCTAGACAGCACGATTCCCTCATTAGCAAATTTGCTCCTCAATGCGTCATGGTTTGATTACGTCATCGTATCCTCCACAACATTGATTGAGAGCCAATTGACGGCAATTATATCTCGAAATTGCTCCCACAAACACCAGATCGGAACGCTTTGATAATTATGGTTTTATTGGCCTTGATGGCCGCATACCTTATAGAATGCCAGAATTTCAATGGCTCTATGACGTAATGAATGCCAAGGTGACTTTTAAATACTCTTCCCGATATACTTTCCCCATTTTCACGGCCGTGTAGCTCAGAAGGAAAAAAGCTACAGGGGATTAGGTCTCAAGGGGGGCAGAATTGTATGCAGCACCGAAAGGTCTCCCGGATGATTATTTTAGCTCAAAACTACACAGTAAATGTGGAACGCTCCCTGTAACGCTGTTGTGAGCTTTAATTGTGTTTGTACATTTGCATACGTCATTCAATCCAACAGGATCAATGTGTGTCGTGCTCGACCAACCGCAGCACGACAGTTAGCACCTCCGCCCAGACTATCTGTGCTCCGATCTGGGGCTTCAATTCCGGTCCCACCTGGGTCAGATCCGATCAGACGTAGATAGTGGTGGAATTCCGTTTCTCCCAGCCGCCGGTCTGGTCCTGACCCCGCCTCGCGTGAGGCTGGCACCTGTTCGCGGCCGGCTGCTGTTGTTGGCCGGCCGGTGCGTGTCCCAGTCGGGCCTCGGCGCCGCCCTGCTCAGCCAGTCGCTCATGTCGGCGGGTGACAGGACACGCCTGAACGGGAGGGGAGGGCGGTAGGCTGCGTTCGGCGGAGCCAGGCCAGGCGGCGCGTCATTCGTTCCCTCGGCACCGTCCAGTGAGCGCGCCCGTCTGTCCGGTGTACCTCGGCGCGCGCGCGGTCCCTCGGCGCCGTCCAGTGAGCGCGTCCGTCTGTCCGGCGGGCCCCGGCGGACCGGCCGTTTGTCAGCCACGCCCCGCCGCCGGCTCCGGCGGTATCGACGCCGGCGGCCGCCAGGTGTCGGCGCCGGCCGCCGACAGTCGGCCGACCGCGACCGAGGCAGGCCCGCCGGCGGCGCCCGCTCCGTCGCCCGCCAGACCGCCTGCGGCAGCACCGCTGCGCCATGGAGACCGTGCCCTCGCTGACGTTCACGCCGCCAGACGAGACCGAGTCCGGGCCGTCGCCCAAGACGCAGCGCAAGACGTCACACGACCGGCGCGGGTCGCAGAACCTGCTGCAGTCGGCCGGCATCGGCATCGAGAAGCGACGCCGCTCCAGCACCGGCCAGTACCGTATCGAGAACAACCAGGTGAGGACGGTGCTCATGTGTCATTGCCGCATCGGGAACAGCCGGGTGAGAATGTCGCTCATATGTCGTTACCGCATCGAGAATAACCAGGTGAAAATAGTTTTCGCATATCAACTACATCGAGAACAGCCAGGTGAGAAGGCGACGTTGTTCAGGCACCGTCCAGAACTACAATGAGAACTACCATGTGCGAGACTCATTTCACAAGAGTGGCAAACAATGCATTAGTGCAAGTGTCTCACAACGCATGGACGCGTGTTTTGCAGCACTTACACGTGCGCAATAAAAATTGGGGTAATTAGAATAAGAGCCTCGGCAGGGCTGCACTTAGGGTGATTCCCTCGCGTATTAATCGAAGGAAATGTGGGCGAAAGTCCCATGCTTTCCCATAAGGGAGTCGCGTATGGCAGAGCTCGCGTTCTCCAGTTACGCCGGAATCTGCGCATAGCTACATTTGTGCATTTGCGGCGCTATTTTACTTTGCTATGGTCTGTTTTAGTAGACCAGCATTGCTGTTGACTTGACACCGAGCCTTCTAAATCAATTTACGGAACTATGGCCACTCAGTACGATCTGTTACGTTGTTTACTATTCACATGCTTGTGGCGTGTTGTAATGCACAAGACGGAAACAAGAAGGGCGCAATGATTGTGCGGCGTGGCAGGAAATCTGGAAATTGAATGCGTTGAAGTTGAATGAAATTGCGAGTGAAGTTGAAGTTGAAGCAGCGGATTTTAAGGCATACCGACGCAAGCCGAGCTATGGTGCATCTGGGGATGATGTGATGTGGTGCAGACCACCATCACCACTGCACCGATTCCTCCCCGCTGCCTGCTGCATGCACCAGCCTGTGGCCATGGCTGGTTTGAGATGCTCCATATGGCAGTGAGTGGCTGTTTATAATATGCCGACGAATTCAAACGCAATGCGCCATGGACTGCACGCTCAAGAGGCAGCGCCTTACCATGGGTAGCTCAACATTCGTGAGCCCTGTCTCAACTGGCCAGCAGAGCGTGACCTTTGTCGCGTTCCGATGCTGCAGATATCCTTGGTGACGCGGAGCTGTTACCCCATAACCAAGGCTGAGAGGACAGCAGAGTGCGTGGGGATAACTGTCGGGCCCTGACTGACGCAGGGACATCAAGCTGCTGGGGCCTGGCTGACGCAGGGACATTAAACTGCTGGGCCCTGACTGACGCAGGGACATCAAGCTGCTGGGGCCTGGCTGACGCAGGGACATAAAACTGCTGGGGCCTGGCTGACGCAGGGACATCAAACTGCCGGGGCCTGGCTGACACAGGGACATCAAACTGCTGGGGCCTGGCTGACGCAGGGACATCAAACTCGCCGCGCCACTGTCGAGCAACTGCAAAACGCTGCCCGTGAAAGAATGGACACGTATGACCACTATGTCCCACTTAACACGGTAAATATGGGGCCGCTGGAGCCCGCCGACGCCCGAAACACGCGGCCGTCGGAGAAAGCTGCCACGACAAACATCAAGCTGTTCGTGCCGCCAGCTGACACGGCGAAAGCCAGGCTGTTGCAGCCAGGTGATACATCGGACGTAAGGTTATGCTTGGGACCGTCTGACACAGTGGACGTCATGGACGTGGACACAGTGAACACAGTGGACACACGGACCGGCTAACGCAGTGGACATGGGACCGGTTGTGAAGCGGGCTGGCACCGTGAACGCAAAAGGTCTCTCTGAGTTGCGTGACTGGCCACGGACACGAGATCATCTAGCGATGCGTCCGCACTTTAAGCTTGCTGTGTGGGACGCGGCCACGCCTCCCCGGTAAATGGTAAGGGCCGATGCCGGTTCGATGTCAGCCTTGATGTGGTTTAAATGTGCTGCGAAGCTGTTTTGTGTGGGCAGAACGCAAACTGACCCGAGCGAGACAGAAGTCACTGGAGCCTGGACTCCGTCAACCTCAGTAGTGTTGACGTCAATGGGTTCAGTGGTGTTGACGTCAATGGGTTCAGGGCCATTGATGGCAAGCCCTGTCCACGCCAGCTCGCAGCATTTGCGCCGTACCCATATCCGTTGGCTGACAGTGATGCTTTGCAGGCTGGTAACGTTAGTCTTGAGTGGGCTGGTCTCGCCTTTAGAGCAAGCTGTGCAGCCACGCGAGAGCATGTGTTTTTTCGCGTGTTAAGAAGGGTAAATTTGGATGAGTGCTGTTGGCTTATTGTTTTTGAATGGAATGCTTTACATGTGAAGATAGTGAAGCAGGCATCCGATATGGTAAAACAAACTCACTTATGCTATTGGCATACCTGTTAGAGAGAAAATACTTATCGACTGGCAGTATTTGAGTGACGTTATTGTGACGTCATGAATGTCAAGGTGACTGAAATACTCTTGCCGACATGCCTTTCACCATTTCCGCAGGCGTCTAGCGCAGAAACGGAGGGGGGAGGGAGTGGAGGCTAAGACATTAAGAAGAGCAGGATTGTGAATCACACGAACATGTCTTCAATATGCCTATTTCAGTTCAAAACCCCATGTTAATATGGGACACTCCCTTCGGTATGGTAACATTCACTGTCCGTAGCTGGAAAAAAAAAACGCGGCATAACGCGAATCCGGCCTGCAGCGAACCGACGCTGTTGAAGGCGTGTCTCCTAGCCATGACCATTGCTCTGAGTCGAGCCAGACCAGCCCCAGCGCCGTCGTTGCCTGAACGTCCGTGGATCGCCGAGAACGGTCGCGCTGGCCGATCCTCGATCGCGCTCGACAAGAGGAACGCCACGACGACACGATGTGCACCCGTTGTAGGGCTGGACATCGACCGATGCCTCTTTGCCGGGGCTGGTGGGTGTTCGTGGATAGGGGGGAGGGCAGCTGTCGATCGCAGTCAGCGTCTGGTACCTCGCTGCCTGTCAGTCCCAGGCCGCGGCCGTCGTGCTGCCGCCGCCGCTGGACGGATCGGGGACATTAGCTCAGCTCGCCCGGCCGGGGAGCCGGTGGCGCGTGCATATCCGAGTTGGCCGGGCTCGGCTCGAGCCTCAGGAGTGCGGAGAACATGGCAGTAGGTCAGAGCTGAACGATACCGCCGCTCCTGCTGGGACATGGCGAGCAGGCGGCTGCCAGAGATAGCCCGTCACAGGCACACAGTGCGAATCGATCCTCTCCGGCTTCAACGATGGACTGCTCATAGCACGTACCGAGTGGGCCAAAAAAGGTGTGAGCCGGTTGTTGAGAAAATCGTTTGGGTCCATTGACTGGTTCAGAAGCAATCGTTACAACACAGACTGAAACGGGAAGGACGGTGAGATCACTCGCAGAGCGAGATTCGTTATAGTTTGGGCCTCGCCGTGCCATATCTGCGAACGGGCCTAGAACGACCCCTTTGATGCGGCAGGCAACTCCTTGTTAAGGGTATGGGACTGTGCCAGCTCAGCGAGAAGAAATGTGCGCTGTTCTGGGGAGAGACGTGGGTGGACGAAGACTTCTCATTCTGTTACAAGGCAACATCAAGGCCGCCACATCCTGCTTTTGTTGCCTTCTTTATCTCCAAATTGTTTATGCCGGAGAGCGTGTTTATTGCTCGTCGTAGGACACCCGATGAAGCTAGCTCAACATTCGCTCTCCGCGTGCAACATTTTCGTGTTGGGTAAACACATCGCGCCCACCGGACTACTGCTGGGATCTCCAACAGCAACACGGCCGAGGGTGCGGTTTTGGCCGCTGCCCCTGGCCGCGGCGCCGCTCCAGGCCGCGCGCGGCGACTGCGTCCACGGGCGTTGCCAGCCGGACGCTCCTGCTGGAAGGCACGCTGGACGACTGCCAGCGGGGGTACGACGAGCGCGCGCCGGAGTCGGCCGCGGAGATCGAGGCGAGCGCGCCTGGCGATCTTGCAGCGGCGCGCCCCGCCTGCCGGAACGGAGCGATAAATATATACGCAGTGAGATCATACCGATACGTGCTGAACTGGATGGCGTCCGTGGGGCGCCGAGAGGTGGCGCTGCCCAGCCTGCGTGACAGCGATGTACTGTTCGAGCCCAAGGGCGAGCTACGTCCGAGGCACACGCCCGCCACTCGCCGCCTGCGTATTCCGGGCGTTGCCGCCCGGATGGGGGGGGGGGGGGACGCACATGCCGCAGGCCCAGCCTGTATTGTCTTCGGTAGCCTCGCTGCCAACCCCATTGTCCTCGGTAGCCTCGCTGCGCAGCCTATATTGTCCTCGGTAGTCTCGCTGCAGGCCTAGCCTGTATTGTCTTCGGTAGCCTTGCTACAGACGCAGCCTGTATTGTCCTCGGAAGCCTCACTGTGTGCAGCCTGTACTGTCTCCGGCAGCCTCGCTGTGCACAGTCTATACTGTCTTCGGTAGCATTGCTGCAGGCTCAGTCCGTATTGTCTTCCGTAGCCTCGCTGCAGGCTCAGTCTGTATTGTCTTTGACAGCCCCGCTGTGCACAGTCTGTATTGTCTTAGGTATCCTCGTTGCGGGCCCAGCCTGCATCATCTTCAGTAGCCTCGCTGTGCACAGTCTGTATTGTCTTCGGCAGCGTCGCTGTGCGCGGTCTGTGTTGTCTCCGGCAGCCTCGCTGTGTGCAGCTTTTGATGACGCGCGTCCGGCTCTTCTGTACCACGTCCGGCACTTTTTGCAGGTTGTTTACGAGACCGACAATGGAGAGACGGAGCGAATGGAGATCGTCAAAATACACGAGAAGCACGGCAGCTTTCGCAAGGCCATCCCCTATATGCCTATGCCGGTGGCCATAACGCTTTGCGTGTTGAACGTGATAGCACCCAGCATCGGTAAGTACCGAATTCTCCCCCCCCCCCCCACCCCCCACCCTCACAGCCTGTGAGCGAGCGTATCATGGAGGGAGGGAGAGAGCTAAGGAGGAGTGAGGGGCAATAAACATGATGTGTTTGGCCTGACAGCGAGCTGAGTGAGGTGAACGAGGCACGTGTGCCGTTTGGCAGGGACGTTCTTTCGCCGCAGTGCAGTACAAGTGCACGCACTTACACAGGTGTTTCGTGCAGAGCACGTAGACAGATGTTTGCAGACAATTTCACCACATCTCGTGACATGCGTGAGCAACGAAGGGCGAGCGTCTTTGACACGTCAACGGATGAACCAAAGTATCGCCTCAGCTTAATATAACATTTGATACGATATACGAGGCTATGCTTTATGAAAAACTCGAATGATTTCATTCTGTCGAGTAGCCAGTTGTAAGTGGTCGTTCTGAGAACTCAACTATAGTTCGTCACATTCATTATTCATGGGACGCTTTGTGCGTCGTACGACGAGCGGGGCCATAGCCGTTGCGAGAGCGGTCTGGCGCTTCCACGTACATGATGCGGAAAACTGGGCTGATGAAGCGAGACACCTTTAGCATCCGATACCAATAGGCTCGGCCATTGCCATGGGAAGTTTACCTTTCATGGCATTCAATAAGACAGTTCTAATAACCTCATTCCTGGTAGGATAACCAGGAGAATGTAGAGATAGACGCATGTAGTAATATTGATTAATGACAAATGTATTCAAAAGTACATCTATCTCTCCATTATCCTGGTTATTCCACAACGAACAAGGCAAGCAGTGCTGTCTTATCTATATGCATAACGTTGCTCGCAGATGCACTTAACTTGCGTAATTTCATGATATTCAATATGTAGAGGTCCCATGAGGCACAAATTGCTACGTTGCGAAGAATATTGCTTGAACATCAGCCGACTGTGAATATTGTGGAGCATGTCAATTTAGGCCGACGAAATCGATGAATTGGCTCTGGTCTGGGGATTGGTAGCATAAGAAAAGTACAACAAATATATAAATAGTTTTTTTACGGAATGTTGATCACGTACCCAATTCCGTATTACACGTACTACGTATCTTTGCAATTTGCATGACCCGTTCCCTCTCAATTAAGCCACAGCGTCTTGAATGGGCAGTTGGTTCTGGAGAAGGTGGCATTGGTCTGATGCTGCTTTGAACAGCAGGGGGCCACTTCATTAGTGTTACGGCAAGAATTCCTACTGGCAGGAGTTCTACATCAGTTATACACGACATTACTTCCACCGCAAAAACTAATACAGACTTTGCTTATACGTGACATTACTTCTACTGCAGACTTATACGTGGCATGAGTGCTACACGACAAAACTTATGCTTCAAAAACTTGTGCACGCCATCACATCTACTGCGAAAACTTTTGCAGTCTTTACGTATACACGACATTGCTTTTAATGCAAACACTCATACACGACGTGGGTGCCGCGCGACAAACTTATGATGCAAAAGCATATGCCAGTCATTTCTTCGACAGTAGAGACTTATGCAGTGATTAGTTATATAGATTACTCCATCTTACTACGAGTAAACGGTGACATAAGTGCTACACAATACAACTTGAAAAATAGTGAAAAACTGTGAATAGTGATACAGGCCATAACCCACAAATAACAACCGTCAGCACTCCAAACCGCAGGTTAAGCCTCACTAAAATCCTTCAGGCGACGACCTCATTGCAGCACTTGGCTGGGCGAAATCCGACTGCATGTGCCCACTCCATGGTGTGAACACATTATTATCGTAAATATTGCAATAGACATAACTACAGAGGTAACAGTTCTTGTTTTTCAATAGTTCGACATTTTTGCAGCTGAAAACGTATGGTGCACTGTCATAATGTTGAATGAAATTGGGTTCAAGCGGGAAAAATGGCTCGATCTACCCAAAAATGCAAAACATGGCGTTTGCCCCGAATGTGACGCACCTTCCTCTCAGAGTTGAGGGGCCGATTGAGTCGCCGACGGGAAACGAAACTACACTTCTGGCTTGGCATTCACTGGAACACGACATTATTTCTAGTTTGCGCCCGTCATTAGCATTTTGCCACCCAAACCGCAGTCTTTGTCCAAACGCCTACACCGCAGATCTAAAGAAAACACGTGATATAATAATTGTTTCGTATCAGCACCACATACATTTCATTGTAGTAGCCCAGTTGGAGTTCCCTCCTGATCTGTGAATGACTTCTACACCCCTGCTAGGTGTCCACGAATTTGACACTTCACAGCAATCATTAGAAGAAGAGGTAATTAGCGTTTACGTAAAAGCTATACAAAATTCTGTATTCAAAGTCATGACAATTTTACATTCTTAAAGCACTATTCTTTAGTGTGCTACTTATGTTGCGTACAGTTGTTGTGCATTGGAATCATCGGACTGCATGAGCAGCAGAGGCAATGACGAATGCAAGTTTTTGAAGCACAAGTTTTGTCATGTAACGCTTATGCCGCTTAGAAGTCTTCGAAATCGGAGTTCAGTCCCGTATAGGAAATGGTAATGTAAGTTTCTGCTGTAATATTAATCAAGAGCATTCGTTTTTGAAGCATGCGTTCTGTCGTGTAGCACTAATGTCGCGTGTACATTTTGTGGTAGAAGTAATGTCATGTATAAGTAATGACCGCATAAATGCTTGCTGTAGAAGATATGACGAACATGAGTTTTTGCAGCAGTCACGTCGCACTAACGTCATGTGTAATATTGGCAGCAGAAGTAATGTCGTAGCAATCCTATCGGTGGGAGCTTTTGTTGCAGCACCAGTGTCGCGTAACCTTTGCCATTACGAGCGTCCGTTTATTTTCCGTCAGGCTGTTAATCTCGCATCGCCGTCGTGCCAGGTCATTGAGACCTGTCCGATTTTGACCCATGTTCAGCTTTTTTTCGCAATTTGATTATTGAATTTCCATGGTAATCAAATGGATGTTATCGGTCGTGATGACATTGCCACACTGCAGAACTGGCCCGTCTGATCGAACAGCTTGCACGCATATGCCTTGCAGCTAAACAGCACACCTTTAAAAGATTACGCTTCCTGTTGCGGAAGTCTACATGGATCCTCATCTGCAATCAGTGGTTGCAATCAAAATTAGCCTCTAGCCTCAAGAAGCCTTAGCCTCCAGAAGGGGTCACCGCCTGGCCGGGCCGAACCTCGTCGAACCTCTCCAGTTGGAAATGGCATTAATGGGTGAAGTTGCGGACAGAGTAAGCCTGTGACTCGAACTGTGAGAGAGCTTTTAGCTTCAGTAAGGTCCGGCCCGACCCCGAAGTTCGCTGATCGTAGCTTCACGGAATGTCCAGCAACAAGAAGTGCATTATTTTAAGTGCTGTATAAAACTGTTGGGCATCCGTTAACAAACTATATAATCAAGTGCTTTTTTCATGTAGTATTGTGGCGATGTGCTTCAAAATTAAGCTACGTTAGCCTGTGAACAGCGCGTTCAGTTACCAAGCAGTAGAAGTAACCGATGGCTTGTTTTGCTGTTCATCACCGATGACTTGTTCATCACCGATCGCTTGTTTCTCTACGGTTCCACGACATAAGTGCCACAGCAAAAGCTCCTGTCGACGGGGGCGCTACGACTTGATGTCTACTGCCAATATTTTGACGCATTTCTGCCACGCGACAAAACCTATGCTGCAAAAATTAGTACCTGCCATTACTTCTGCTGCAAACACAGTTATTACTTAAACCCATTACTTCTGCCGCAAAAACTCATCACGTGACATTAGTGGTACATGACAAAATGTATACTTCAAAAACTTATACCCGCCGTTATCTGTGCTGCAAAAAAGTACGGAGCCATTCCTTATACACCACATTACTTCTACTGCAAGCGCTTCTACGTGACCTTAGCGCTATACAGCAAAACTTGTACTTCGACAATGCATAATTGTCATATCTTTTGCTGCAAAAATTTGCACAGTCTACTTATGACTGACATTACTCCTACTAATAATGCTGACCGTGGAGTGCAAAATGCCCGTACGCCTAGCAGGGATGCAGGAAAAAATTACAGCTTAGGAGGGAACGTCAACTGGGCGGTGCTAAATAACATGCTCGTGGCGCTGATGCGAAAGTTATCTATGTATTATGCTAAGTACTTTGGTCGATTTCTAGGCTTGGCGGATGAGCAAAGGCTGTATTTGTGGCGGCAAAATGTAAGTGACGGATACATTTTTTTAATAGAAGTAACATCACGTTTCAGTGAGCACCAGACCAGGACTGTTGCTTCATATTCAGTCGGTCACCCAATCCGCTCCCTTTATGTGATAGCAAGGTTTGTCATATTCGGGGCAAGCGCCGTGTTTCATGTGTTTCGGGCAGGTTTGGCCGTTTTTCTCTGCTTAGCCCGCGAGCTTGTTTTGCAACAATGCGACAGCACACCACACATTTTCAATAAAAAAGCGTCGCGCAGACGTATTGTCGTCGCGGACTGTCCATCGCAACATTTACTGAAGCAATGATGTGTCAACATCAAGGGGTGGGCATCTGCAGTCTGATTTTGACCAGTGAAGTGCCCCCGTGCGTTCGTTTCCTCCAGGATTTTAGTGAGGTTTTACCTATGAGTTATGGTGTATGGGATGGAGTACCCGCGATGGTCATTTATGGGTTATGGCCTGTATCGTGTGACACAAATGTAACATATAAGTATTGGCCGAAGAAGTAAAATCGCTGACAAGGAAAGGATGTATACGGTTTTTACAGTAGCCATACATGTGTGATGAGATGGGCTGTTCTGTTGGTAGCACCGAAACTGTCTGCGTCTAGACTAGCTTTCAAGAAACAACAACGTTCAGGGCATCACAATGTTTGTACTTCCCCATGGCAGGCATCTAGGATCGGTCTTGTCGGCGATGGGTCACCCAACCTTTTATTCGAGGCATTATAGCTTTTATTTTTCGTAGGCGCCAAATACAAACGGATTATTGCAACGACTCCAACATTCGTTTTTCA